CGGGTTGCTCCTGTGACATGACCTGCTACCTGACCACTCACAGCAACCACCCATTTTCTGAGCCTAGTTCTCCATCCTTCTAGTTGACTCCATGGATCCCCAGTATCCTTCCAATGAATTTGTTTTGCCTAATTTAACTAGAATCCATTTCTGTTGCTTGTGTCCAAGGAACCCTGACTGATAGAGTTTGTTTTCAGGATTCAAAGGGAGGTGGGTATCATTGGGACCCCTGTCAGCAGATGTTCAGCCTCTCTGGGTCCCTAGAGGACTGAGATATATAGCAGTTCCCATGGAAAAGCAGGCATGTGGTTTGGTTTAATTGTCCTCATGGCTACTATTCAGGGTGGGTTTTTTAGTATTCTCATGATGCAGCTCCAGTTATATCACGAGCTCTGGCAGCCCTGTTAGCCCCTCAGGTCTCTCAGAAGACAGGATCTGAGTGGTTCAGTTTGCCTTCACCATCCACATTGGGCAGTGTCGGGACAGCCCCCTCCAGAAGAGTTAGCCTCCTGCTTGTCCAGCCCACCCATCAAAGCTCTGTCTGCTGTGGCCAAGATGTGATCGTGTGAATGAATGAATGAATGAATGAGTAAATGGGTTTTGTTTTGTTTGTTTGTTTGAGACACAGTCTCACTCTTGCTGCCCAGTCTAGAGTACAATGGTGTGATCCCGGCTCACTGCAACCTCCGCCTCCTGGGTTCAAGCAATTCTTCTGCCTCAGCCTCCTGAGTAGCTGGGATTACAGACTCGCGCCACCACACCCTGCTAATTTTTGTATTTTTAGCAGAGACTGGGTTTCGCCATGTTGGCCAGGCTGGTCTCAAACTCCTAACCCCAGGTGATCCACCCACCTTGGCCTCACAAAGTGCTGGGATTACAGGCTTGAGCCACCACGCCCGGACTGTTTTTGTTTTTATTAAGGCCAATTGCTGTGACTTTATTTTAAGGGGTTTTCAGACTCACTTTCTGTGGAGCTCTTTAGATGAGGCTGTGTCACTAGTCAACCATCTTCACTGTGGAGGCCTACTCACTATGATTTTGCTTTGTAGATCACAAGGATTCATTCAAATTGTCTTTGCTTCCATTCCTTCATAGTATGTTGCATGGTGTGAAAGTATATCTCTCCTTCTCTAGTACATTGTTTTCAAACAGGTTGCTGCTGCTTCTCCATTGTCATTCATCTTTTCATTATCTTATTCCTCTAAGCACAGTCAGCACATAACATACTATTTTCTACGCATAGGGATGGGAAAATGCAGACAGGTAACAAGAAGAGACAAATCATCCTCCTATCGGTGGTAGGCACCCAGGCCTGACCTGCATGAAACTGCAGGTGTACCCAACCCTTTGTGTCTGCCAAGATAAGTCTGCCATGGACCACACGACACCCAACACCAGAGGCTTACATCAAAAAGGCCTCAACAGAAGCTGAAATGGAACATGAATTCACAGCCTTAGGCTGAACAGCTCTCACAGCAATTCTTGCCCATGATGCCAACATGGCTTCCTGAGCTGAAGTTATCACTTCAAATGTTCAAATGTATTAGTCTCTTCTGCTTTCTCATTCATCTCAAGACTTTTCTGAAGCCTTGCTCGCTCGGTCGCTGCCTTGCGTTTCCTCGACCATGGCTGTAATCTGGTCTCTTGTGACATTTCAGGAATATCTTGCTGTTGTTCAGGGTAAGCATGTCTATGGAGTCTCAGATAAACTTTTTTTTTTTTTTTTTTTTAGATGGAGTCTTGCTCTGTCACCCAAGCTGGAGTACAGTGGCATGATCTTGGCTTATTGCAGCCTCTGCCGGGTTCAAGTGATCCTCCTGTGTCGGCCTCCCGAGTAGCTGGGACTCCAGGTGCACACCACCATGCCTGGCTAGTTTTTTGTTTCTTGTTTTTTTTGTATTTTTAGTAGAGATGGGGTTTCACCATGTTGACCAGGCTGGTCTTGAGCTCCTGACCTCCCAAAGCGCTGGGATTACAGGCATTAGCCACCATGCCTGGCCCTCAGATAAACTTCTGTTTTCTTGCCATTAGGAGTCAAACCTCGTTGTTGACACCAGTTCCACCAAGTTGTGCCTCCTGACACAACTTATTAAGGGGAGGCAAAATGGTCGGCAAGGGAAAGACTGGTATTTTGCATCTAGCTTTTGTGGAGCTGTGAATTGTTTATTTGTTTGAGGTAGATGAACTTTATTATGTTTCTTAGATTTCTCTGGTTTGACATCAGAAGTTGAAGGAACACTTGTTCTATATTTGGATCATCTTTAACTGGCACCAGTGTCAAAAATCATACTTTCCTCATCATCTATTTCCCCCTCAAAGAAATTATTCTTGCTGCTATCAAAATTTGAGTCTGACATTTTCAGCAACGTCCCTGTCTTGACCATTTGGTGATAAATTTTTTAAAAAAATTAAGCCAGGCGCGGTGACTCATGCCTGTAATTCCAGCACTTTGGGAAGCCCAGGCGGGTGGATCGCTTGAGTCCGGGAGTTTGAGACCAGCCTGGGAAACATGGTGAGACTCCCATGTCTACCAAATAATCTGGCTTTTTTTCTTTTGAGACAAGGTCTTGCTCTGCCACCCAGGATGGAGTGCAGTGGCACGATCGCAGCTCCCTGTACCCTCAACCTTCTAGACTCAAGTGATCCACCCACCTCAGCCTCCTGAAAAGCTGGGGCTAGAGGTGCATGCCACCGTGCCCGGCTAATTTATTCTTTTTTTATTTTTGTAGAGACGTTGTTTCGCCATGTTGCCCAGGCTGGTCTCAAACTCCTGGGCTCAAGCGATCTGCCCTCCTCTGCCTCACAAAATGTGGTGATTACAGGCATGAGCCACTGCGCCCAGGCGAGTGAATGTTTTTCTCCTACTCCCCTGGCCCGGCTAAATCACATTCTTCTCCCAAAGCATCCATACGTCTATCTTAGCCTGTCTCACGCCCAGCCTATCCCAGAGTCAGCGTGAAATGGGTCCTTCTCCTAGAGATAGAAATCTTTAGCCCCCATGGGGCTTTCTGTCCCAGCCCAGCAGCTGCATCTTGCAGTGGTAAATAATTGCTCCCTGAATTCAACAGAGACTTAAATAAGATCTCCAGCAAGGGAACTGGCTCTTATTTATATATTATCTTACTTCTCTGTGGGCAGTACAATGGTTTACATACTGAAGGGGGTCCCATAAGTGCTCATCAAATTACGTAGATAACATTTATGGATCGCCTACTGATTGTCAGACACCAAACCTGGCCCACACTTACTGAGGACTTGATATGCTCCAGGGACAGTGCTAGCCACATTCAACCTCACCACAACCCTATGGGGTAGGTCCTATTATTGTCCCCACATTGCAGTTAAGAAATGTGAGGCACAGAGAGACGACGTAATTCTCCTAACTAATGGAGCTGTGGGTCTAGCCAGGCAGCCTGGCTCCAGAGCTGATGCACTTAGCTGCTTTACCAGGCTGTTTCATGATGGTGTGCTTGACACTGAAGCTTCTGGAAATTAAACAAGGCGTTCCAATAAGAGCCACATCAAAAAAAAATGTGAATGACTGTAAATTAATCTCTCCAACAGACATCCACAATAATCATGCCCCACCCAGCCCCAAGGAAGATGGGGCTCAGGACTGGGGGTGATGGATGGAACAGGATGCCACTTCACACATGACTTGGAAAAGAAGTCGTAAGTTGAATGATCATGTTTGTCAGACCTAGCAAAAACATTTTGTACCTATCCCTTGAGAGGTTTGGCAGCTGCAATTTCCCAAAACAGAGTTATGAAAGAGCAACGGCTGGGTGCATTTGTGACTTTGGCACCAGGGCTTCTGGACCAAATCTCAAACAGGGCGGTGCCCACATCACACTCCTGCCCATGCCTTATGAGGTCCCTGCCAGATTCTCTCCCCAGAGAATGGCACCTCAGACACCAGCCCAACCTCAATGAGGTGGTATTTCCCTAGCATGAGCCCTCAAGGAGGCTCAGATCTGCCCTCTGAGCTTGGTTTGGTCTCCATGAAGACACTTGCCACACTGCTGGGTGAGGCTTGCCAGCCTCTCCCTCCACAGCCAGCCAGAAGCTGGGCACCTCCAGGTTCCCTCAGCCACCAGGACAGGCAGCCACATGTTGGAGAGTTGCTCCAAATACCAGCTGGGATGGAAAATACCTCCTGGTCCTGAGACCAGAGAGGAACTGGCAGAGGCCATTTTATTTCACCAAATAATTCCGTGTGACTGCTTCGGTGGGTTGCAACCCTAGGTACTTATTAAAAAGTAAAAAGTAGGTTCCCTGGGCCTGCTTAGCCCTAAACAAATCGGAAACGGGGCTGCAGGGGTGGGGGAAGTGGAATACTGGCTTGAGCACTTTTCCAGCCTCTCCAAGTGGTTCAGCTGTGCTGAGTGAGGCCGTCCTTCAGATTAATGAGGCATGTGGCCTCTGCCCTCCCCTCTCCAAAGGGAACATGGGCTTCTCCCCTCACACAATCACACACCCGCCTTCTGAGTGCCAGGCTCTTCCCCACTTCCGGACCTTTGCTGGAGCTGTGCCCTCTGCAGGAATGCAGCTCTCAGATCCCAGTGGAAAGAGTTCTTCATTCAGGCTCACCCCAAGTGCATTCAGTCACAGCACCTTCTCCTTTACAAGATTCCTTATTCTCATTCTCTCTCTCCCCAGCAGTCCATAAGCTCCCTGTTCCCCTCACCACTGAGAACCTCAGGCCTCACGGTGTATGCAGTAGGTGCACCATAGGTGGCCGGTGAGTATAGGCTGTGTCACAGCTACACAAAAAGGGCAGCTACTACCTGTTAACTGTTGCTAGAGGGTGGTAGAATAAACCCCCTAGTTTACCATAGTTCACAAAGGAGAGCCAAGGCCAGGAAGGACTACAGGAACCTTGCACACAGACCCCCACTGCCATGGTCCCCTGTCTGAAATGCCCCACAATCTGGGTTTCCTACAACCCAACTGGAACCAAGTGCCATATACCCAACGACAAATGAGGCGCCCGGAGCCAGAATAGTCTAGATGAATTTATTGCCATTCACATATTTCATAGAAAAAAAGATGTAGCAAACAGGTCAGGGATGTACAAAAAAAAAAAAATCCAGGTTTATACAGGTTGCTCTATTTACATCTGAGAGCAGGACTGTCCTAGCATCAGGCACAGCAGCTGCATTTGTCCGATGTCCCCTTGCAGATGCAGCCCTGGGCACACTTGGCACAGCCCACAGGGCAGCAGGAGCAGCAGCCTGGGGAAGAAGGGGAGAGTGAGAGGTCAGAGCAGGCTCAATCAGGCACCTCCCTGTCCCAACAGAGGCCTGGCTCGTGCCCTGCCTCCAGCCCCAGAGGACCATCATTTCAGGATGGCATGGCTTTGTCAGGAGAGAACTGGTGGATCTTTGGGATAAGAGTTTTATATGAAAAAGCTGCCCAGCCCCACCTGAGTCCGGGACAGGACAGAAGACTGGACAGGTATGGGAACAAAAGGAGGCCAGTTCCCCAAAACCTACACTTAAATGAAGAAAATCTTCATAATCAGACAGGGGGCAAACCCTTGACACAGCAGTTCTGGGGAAGGCCAGGGAAGCTCTGGGCTGCCTCTGCAGGAAAGGGCTGGATCATCAGGTTCCAAATCACCCGGGGTCTCCAAGATCCAGGGCCTTAAGTGCTTCAGGACCCAGAAAGGTTAAGAAGGCTGCCTCAGGAGGCAGGAGACCTAGATTCACATTCCAGCTTTGTTCCCAGCACTACCTGGTAACCTCTCTGGGCCTTGGTTTCTAGTTTGGTAATAAGAGGCTGGGATTCACCCATTTTTAAGGCACTTTGAGGTCTGATTCTGAATTAGGTGTTGAGGGAGGGGTTTGGGGAAGCTGGTCATAGGCCTGCCCCTGCCTGCAGAACTCTGGGTTCCCTGCTCTAACTTGGCCCATCCCCCAGATTCCCAGGGAAGGCCCTGCACTCACTCTTCTTGCAGGAGGTGCATTTGCACTCTTTGCATTTGCAGGAGCTGGCACAGGCACAGGAACCATCTGCAAGGAAGAGAAAAAGGCAGTGAGCGGTGAGTGAGATGCGGAAGGTACAGCAGCTGGTCAATAACGCTTCAGTTCCCCCTCCTCTGTGCTGTAGGACCAGCCCTCAGAGCTCCTTTCCCACTCAGGGGAGAGGACGAGAACCCCATCTCCTCTCCCTTCATTCTGGGAAGGGCAAGTGTCCTCTTGCTTTTACCCCACAAGCAAGGTCCCAGGCTCCAGACACAGCCCAGGAAGCCTAAGAAGTGGGGAGGCCAGAACCTTCTGTTCTGAACTCCGAAGAGGCAACAGCCCCCCAGGTTCCCATCCACTCTGGCTGCTCAGAGCCTGGTCAGAGCATTGGGGCTCAGCCAGCAGCGCCCTGACCAACTGGGTGACATGGAGCAGGACAGCCTTGGGCCTCAGTACCTTCAACTCTGACTTAGAGGCACAGGGAGGAGGGAAGTGGTCTCAGGGACGTGATTGGGAAGAAAGCACCTAACGAAATAAAGGAGCCCCTTCAGCTCAGAACTTAAAATGCGACTTCTTCAAACCCAGAAACAGTCTGTACTGCGGCTGGGAAACGCGCATCCCAAGGCGTGGAGCCAGGTGTCCCTTACCAGGCGAGCAGGAGCAGTTGGGGTCCATTTCGAGGCAAGAAGTAGGAGTTCCCAATGAAGACGCAAACACGCAGCGGGACAGACGAAAGGGGTGTGGAACCCAGGGGACGGCGGCTTCCTTTATAGCACGGGAAGCGGGCCGGGCGCAGAGGCCCCGCCCCGTCCTTGCACCCGCCCTCGCTGAGTCTGCACTGCCAGCGATCCTGGGCCGGGTGCATCACCCCGTGAGCCCAGAGTCGGGCGCACCGCCGGGCCGGACCTTTTGACCCAGCTTATTGTGAATCTAGCGGTACGTGACGTCCCTGGCGTCCTGCCTGCCCTTTCCAATTTCCCTGACATTGCCTGCCTCTCCCTTTCCTAGAAGTGCCAGGAAACTCGGAATCCCAGCCGTCTACACACCCCCAATCCCCGCTCCACTGTGTGTAGCTTTGCATTTGCCAGAGCCCCTGGATCACGTCCCTGGATCGGCAGGAGAGGGGAGCATAGCGAGGGAGCAGTGTGCAAATGAGAGGCCGAGGATGTGACACTCGGATGTCCTGCATTGCCGGTCCCTATCCCCGTCCCCACCTCGGTCTGTTGGCCACGTTTCTCTTATGTTTAGGGACAGAACAGACTCAGGGCTCTGCCCCCGTGCTTCCATTCTCCACTCTTGAGAGGCTGAATGGGCATATTTGCCCGGGTCCTCCTTTGCATAAAACTCTCCAGGTCTCCCCACAGCTAGCCGGGCACCCCACTACAGGATGACAGTGTGGAAAATGTGGGATGCCCCCAGAAAAGGGATCACTTTAGGTGATATGCGGGTTCTGGATTAAATTAAAATGCAAGAAACATGGTTATTTTTCCTTCCATATGCCTATTACTCTACATAACATTAATCCGTGTTAGGCCCTGTTTAGTCACTTTGCATCTTTGAACCCTCACAGCAACCCTAAAGGGATATTCATTCTAGTTATGAACCCATATTCCTAATCTGAACAACGACAATACAAGGAGCTCGAGCCACCAGCCCAGGGTCAGAGGGCTGCGAAGTGGCACTGCTGGGTCTGAATCCGGTCAGCGTCCCAAGGGAGACAGGGCAATAATGAAGCTTCCCTTTGGCCTAGGTATATTTATCTCTCTACTGCTTGAAATCTTTAAACAAAACCAAGCATCAAGGTCAGTCCTGGAAGCAAAACAGAGATGCAGAGGGAATATGAATAAGCATAATTTGATGGCAACCTTCTACGTCTGGACATTAAACTAATTCTTTTTTCAGTAGTGGTAAGGAGTTTGCTTTCATCTAAATATCTCTAAGCAAATAGGAATCATTTGAAAGAAAAAGTTAACTCACATATTGGTGCAGGTGGTAGCAGAACTGGCAGGCATCTTTCCGTTTCTGTTATGGGGACAGGGACTGTCTTGCTCATGGCTTTATATTGCAGGTGTGAATCCCTATTTTGTGGGAAGAGTGCAGGGCCCTGTCCGGACCACAGGTCAATGCTCATGTGGCTGATGAGAAAGACAGAGGACACACAGGAACACCAGGCCTGGCTCTTCTGTCTGGAGTAAAAATGTCAACTATGCCTTTATTTGAGATGTTTGGGCTGTCATAACCAGATACCTTAGACTGGGTAACTTAAAACAGCAGAAATATATTTCTCTCAGTTCTGGAGGCATGGAAGTCCAAGGTCAAGGCACCAGCATATTTGGAGTCTTGTGAGGGCCCCGCTCCTCATGGATGTCTCTTTCTTGCTGGGTCTTCACATGGTGGAAAGGGTTAAACAAGCTCCCTCAGGCCTTTCTTATTAATCCCATTCATAAACACTAGGTCCTCTTATTTCAGTCACCTCCCAAATGCACCACCTCACTACCTCAATACCAACACACCTCAATACCAACACACTGAAAATTAGATTTGCACATATGAATACTGGAGGCACACAAGCAGTTAGGCCATACCAACCATGAATAAAAATAACAAAATAATAGTTAATATTATAGATCATTTGCCATGTACAAGGCACCATTCTAATTTCTTTATACCTATTAAATCCTGTATTTCTACAAGTCAGACCCCATTACAGTCATATGCTGCTTAGTGATGGGAATACATTCTGAGAAATGCATTGTTAGGTGATTTCATGGTTGTGCAAACAGTGTAAAGTGTATAATAACAAACCTAGATACTATGGCCTACCACAGACCTAGGCTATGTGATATGGCTTATTGCTCCTAAGCTTCAAACCTATACAGCATGCTACTCTGCTGAATACTGAAGGCAATTATAACACAGTGGTATTTGTGTATCTAGACATAGCTAAACACAGAAAGATACAGTATAATTACCTTATAACCTCATAGGACCACCATCCTATATGTAGTGCATCTATAACTAAAAGGTCCTTATACAGCACGTGATGTATTATTATATTCTGCCCCTTTTACAGGGCAGGAAACGGAGCCACAGAGGGGTTGTGTCACCCAAGTATACATGATAATACATCTGGGATTGGCACTCATACAGGCTGACCATAGGATAATTCCCTGAACCACAACCCTATGTCACCCTGTCATGTGACACATGAGAACACTAACTCTGTCACAGAGGCACAGGAGGAAGAGTGCTTAGCTGGCAATCAGAGTCTCTGCATAGCTGTATGTCCTCTCTGAGCTTCAGTTCCCAGGCTGTCAAGTCAGGGGCACAATTGGGCTAACTAACCATGGGTACTTCCAGCTCTGGAATGTGAAGGACTGGGCTTAGCATCCATGGACAACATGATCTTCCACTACGGCGAGGGCATGAGGACACCCACAGCATAGATTCATTCATGCCTTTACTTCTGAACTGTGTGACTCTTTGACCTTGGGAAGATTGTAACTCCTCTAGAAGACAGTACAACTCCTCTAGAGACAGCACCATCTCACCCAAACCCCTGCACATTCACTGTGTCTGGTTTGTGTGAGAATCAAACGACTTGAAAGGTGGAAAAGGCATTCTCTGAGATGCTGGAGCAGTCTCTCATCCCAGAGAGCTGGTGCAGGAGGTCATCCATGGCTTGAGACCAGAATGTAAGACTCAAACCCATCTCCAACTGATCCACTTAACACTTGCAGGCAGATGCATTTGCAAAAGAGCTTGATGGGGCTAACAGGATTGTCTGTCTAGAAAGTCCCTTGGAGAAATGATTATAATACTTTCATTCCCAGTAGCCTAGGCCACTAGTATGAGCCACTGTCATTAATCCCTACAAGGAAATGTAATCTCCTGTATACAGATGAGGAAATGGTGAAACCAGAGAGGTTAAGTGACTTGTGTGACCACACAGCCCCGTAAGGAGTGAAGTGGGCTGTAGACAACTATTAACTTGACACCAAAAGCCTGCACTTGGCCCAAAGGCTCATGCAAAATCCCCTCTTCACAAACAGCACCTGCAACCCATCTAGGGCTTGACTCCTGGGCCACCTGTCATCTTCCACATGATTGAACTACAAAATAACAATTCCCTGAGAGAGAAGATAGCTGGAGAGGACCAGCTGTTAATGTAATGATCAGTCCTCATCCTTCTCAATGCACACCACACCCCTTCAAATTACAGAATGTGCCATCACCCTGCAGAGGCAGGGTCAAATCGCCACCTGGGAGCTGATTGCTATCTATAGTCAGCTTGCCAGGACAATCCTGGACACTTTGCTCCACCTCCCTATTCCTGACGCTGGCCTAAAGTAACCAAGGGCTGGAATTTGAAGGAGGAGACTGCAGCCTGACTGCTGGGAGAAACTTGAATTCAGAGCCGAATCAGAACAAAGGAGTTCTCAGGGTAAGCGAGAGTTCCATGGTGACATGGGGCAGTTCAGGACTGGCCAGTAGTTCCTTCTGGACATGTCAGGCCAGCCCTGCTGAAGGTATGTGATCCACACACACGAGGTCAGTCATGCTATTTCCCAGTGTAAAATACACACTAGAGAAATATGCAATGCTTTATACATTTTTATTTTTCTATTTTTATATATTTTATTTAAATATAGTCACATATTTTGTTTTTCATATATGTTATTTTATTTTCCCATATATTTATATTTAACAATAATTTTCCTGTTGAATATAAAAAGTAGATTTTGTTTTTATATTTCATACTAATTCATTTAGTTCATTTCCCAAAGCTTAGGTCTGTTGCAGATGCCCATAACATTATATCTCTTACATGTATACTGCCTTTTTTTTTTTTTTTGAGATGGTTTCCTCTTGTCACCCAGGCAGGAGTGCAGTGAGGCAATCTCAGCTCATTGCAACCACCGCTTCCTGGTTTCAAGTGATTCTCATAAGCGGCCTCCCAAATAGCTGGGATTACAGGCACCTGGCCCACTCGTGGCTAATTTTGTATTTTTAGTAGAGATGGGGGAGTTCATCACACGTGGCCAGGCTGGTCTTGAACTTCCTGACCTCTTGTGATCTGCCCACTTGACCTCCCAAAGTGCTGGGATGACAGGTGTGAACACTGTTCAGCTATGTATAATCTTTTTATTTTTAGCTGAGACAGGTAATGTGATTTGCCTTAAGGCACTCAGTGTGTAAGGTGATAGGACACAGTGCAGCACCCAGGAGTCTGGACTCTCAGTGCAGTCCCTCATCCCAGCTCTGTTGGGTATCGGGCCACTTTTTTCCAAGGCACACAAAATAAAACCGAGCCTGAATAAAGTCAACTTTATTATCGTGCATATTTATTTTAAAATGTACTAATGGGTCAGTGCTGTATCTGGAAAGCAATTCTGGGTTTATGCCTTTCTACTTCCGGGAACAGAGCTTTTTCCCTACATCAGAACACAGCAGCTGCACCATGTCAGATGTCCTTTGCAGACACATCCTGGGCCACACTTAGCACAGCCCGGGGCAACAGAAGCAGCGCCCTGGGCAAGAAGGGGGAGAGGGACAGGTCACATGCATTGACTTGAACAGGCACCTCTCTGCCCAACAGTGGGCCTGGCTCAAGCTCACACGGGACCGGAGCCTTCGTTCGGGTGATGCGCTCTGTCAGGAGACAATGGTGGATGTTTGCAGTGAGAGCCTTCCCTGCCAACTTACTCAACCCACTGAGCCAGGACAGGGCAGAAGACTGGACAGGCAGTGACTGGGACTGTCTGCGGACAAAGGGAGGACAATTCGCCAGGACCATACACT